CAACTCAGTAACTCCATGTATGTGGAGGAAAACTACTATGCAGAGTTTTCTAGACTGTAACTTTTCAGGAACTGACCACAGGCTTGTCTTCTGAGGTGACTTTGGGTAAATTCAAATCAGTAACCTTTCAGCTGACAGTTAAACACTTAGCCATTTACACTAATCAAGTACTTTCAGAACTCAAGAAATTCTAGTTACTATTTTGAAAGACGCTGTAGAGTATTTTGGTAAGGACGTGTGCTGCTAACCCAAAGACGGTGTCTCTCTGTGGTTCAAATTCACCAGAGACTCCATGAGAGAAAGATGGGCTATTTTCTCCTTTGAAATGTACCATCTCTAAAAGCCCACTAGAGGCTAAGTTCTGACTTGATGGCATTGAGTTTGGATTTTTATTTTTCTGAAAGATAACTTTAATAAAAACTTGAGCAGGCCTTTTTCAGGATAGGAAAATAAAAGGTGAGTAAAACATAACCACTTTATTATTTGTTAGTAGTAATAATAATGCAAATTAATATCACTATAGATATGAAGAAAGCTTGAAGTACCTACTGCAGAAGATCAAAGACTACATATCTCAATATGGATTATATCTCAATACCAAGAAAACAAAAATACTCATCACTGGACCAATAGGCAGTATTATGGAAAATGGCAGACTGCTGTCAGTGATTTTGTTTTACTTGGCTCCACAATTAACACCTATGGTAACAGCAATCAAGAAATCCCTGATCAAAGCCATGGTATTTTCAGTTGTTTTGTACGCATCTGAGAATTGAACAAGGAATAAGGAAGGCAGAAAAGGAATCATTATGTTTGGGTTGTAGTGTTGGAGAACAGTACTGACTATCCCATGGACTGCCAAAAGAACACACAAGTCGGCCTTAGAGAAAGTGAAACCAGGGGGATCCTTAGAGGGTGGCATGGTGACACTCTGGTTCACATACTTTGGCAATGTTTTCAGGAGGGACAAATCCTTGGAAAAAGACTTTATGCTAGGAAAGGTCAAAGAAAGAGAAGAAGACCCTCAACAAGAAAGATTGACACAATGACTGTAACAAAGGGCTCAAACACATCAGAGATGGTTAAGAATTGTGCAGGACAGGGCAAGGCTCAGATCTGCTGTTCACAGGGTCATTATGAGTCACAGTTGACTCAGTGGCACCTAAAAACAATGTTAGCCCATTTATGTTTCCATTTGAAGTGCAAAATTTAAGAAGTTTTAAACCATGTGCTGCTGAAGAAGTGGAACTACTCGTATACTGTCAGTGGGTGCATAAAGGAATAGAACAAATTACAAAAAGATTTTATTTTAGTAAAACTGGAGGCATACATGTCTAAAATTCAGCCATTCCTTGTCCCAATACCTATTCTAGAAAAGTTCTCTCCCATGTGTACTAAAATCTATGAGCAATAATATTGATATTAAATATGAGCAATCTACATTTTCATCAATAGTAGACTATATAAGCAAACATTGGCATGTTCAAAGAGTGGAATATTATATAATTATAATGAAGAAGCTACATTTACTATGCAAGAATTTATATAGAAAAATCTTACACACAGTTTATAGCACGATAACCAAGTAAGAAAACATATTGTTCAAAAGGGAGAAAATTCATACTACCATTTCAAATTCTCATGGTCTCTGGACATTCTGGAGCTACGAGGCTGGATAAGCCCTGAAACTATTGCCCTAGGATAATCTTTAAACATTATACTAAATAAAAATAGCACCTGAAACCTTAAAACAAGTAGGAGTTTGGCTTAACTAGTAAACTGTGTCTACCTTGAGCACTGTGCTCTGTCAAGATCAATCTGTAAGAGATCAAATGGGCAAACAGTAACTTGGAAGAATAAATAGGAGCCTTAAAGAGCAGTGAGTTTATGGTCTTAGAATAAGACCAACGCAGAAAAGGAGGGTGAGAATGGATGCACAATTTAACAAATGCAATCAGTGTTACTGAATTGTACAAGTAGAAATTGTTGATGTGGTATATGTCTGTGTGCTGTGTGTCTTCTGAACATCAACAAAATAAATCAAACTCGTGCCTTTAGTATAAAGGGGCAATCCCTTTCCATGTGATAAACTGCCTCTGAAAACCCACCGGAGGGTCGGCCATGGGTCAGTTACAACTCCACAGAACACAACAAACAACAACATAACTTTGGTAAGTTTACCGTAGATGTGTACATGTCTAGACAATAGAGCTGTTCTTATTGACCTTCAAGAACTTATAAACATTGCCTATATAGACGTGGCCTAGTGTTTAAGAGCTGCATTGTGAATCCAAAGGCAGAAGATTCTAATCTGACAGCCCTTCTGCAGGAGAAAGATTAGAGCTCTCCTGTGCTAGCTATAGCCTCTGAAAACCCACTGAAGTATATTGTTAATATATATTGCTATTAAGAGTTGTCAACAAGTCAAATTTGATTCATGGAAATTCCAAGTGTGTCAGAATAAAATTGAACTCCATGGGATTTTTCAAGACTGACCTTTCAGAAGCAAATTTGAAAGCCCCTACAGCTAAATTCAAACCACCAACATTTTGGCTAAAAATCAAGCACTTAATCATCTGTGCTACCCAGGGACTGGGCTTGCTCCATGAACATTGATAAATGTCAATAGTTGTAGAGGGGCTTCAGGCCTTTTATTCATAGGGTTGCTATGAGTCGTGCTCGACTTGAAGGCAATCAACTGTATATATATGTATACACACACACACACACACACACACACACACACACTTTGATTACATACATATATATTGTGGGGGGGTATGTATGTTGTTGTTATTAGGTGCCTTCAAGTCAAGCACAACTCAGAGCAACCCTAAGAACAACAGATCTGAACTCTGTTCTATCCTGTGCTATCCTCATCATCTCCAATACATTTAAGCCCAGTGCTGCAGTCACAGTGGCTTTCAAACAAAACTGGCCTTTGTTGTTTACAAATGCACATGTAGATGATAATCCTATCACAGGGATAAGTAAAATACAAAGCAAAGTAGTGCTCAGTATTTACTTTTATTCGGGAATGAAAGAGATGCAGTCTGAAAAATGCTCACAGGAACTCATTGGGAGTATATTCTGTACATGTGATTATCCTGGTTATACTCCTGGACCTGTAGGAGGTTTACTTTATATTCTTTAAATTCCACTAGTGGGTAAGGAGTTGTGCTCTCATCTTGAAGGTAAGTGATTTGAATCCACCAGCTGTTCCACTGGAGAAAATAGGCAATCTCTGATAACCTCTGAAGAGTCAGGTATAAGTAATTTCCTACTTGATGGCACATTACAACAACAATATGTGTATTTTCTATATTTATGATATATTTTTCATTATAAAATAGTCCATACATATCATTCCCCTACTTAAAATCTTTCTCTAGCTCTTTACTGTGGAAAAAAAACATCAGAGTAAATCCTCATGATACACCTCCTGTTCAGTTCTGCCTCTGCCACTCCCACTTATGCCCCAGCTGTAGTTTCTTGTGCCCCTAGACAATCATGCTTTCTCAAGCTTCTAGCCTGAAACTTCTTTAAGGCACGAACTGTATTATCTACACCAAAAGTGTGCATCATAAAAGTTTGATCAAATGCTTACCTAATGAATAAATATTTCTTAGGCTCGATATACTATTCTTCTCCTATTCCACATGGAGAGACATGTAGCTCAAAATATTAGATTCAATTGTATAAAATTGACCTTACTTTAGGTATAAAATTATTCATTATTGGTTACATGTTATTCACTTTACAAGAAACATCACTGAACATTGAATACATTTTGATCAAGCACAATGTAGTGATATTTGCTTTCTCATAAAAACTATATGAAAATTGGAATAAAAATTATGATGTGAAACAACCACAGGATTTATTTCATCAGTTTTCTGAAGTTATAGGCCACCTACCTAGAGTTATATAAACCAGTAGGCAAATTAAAGAGAGATATTGATCACCACTTCAAAACAGCTTCATTTGGAATCTTACAAACACTCCTATCATATTTCTCAAAGAAGTTATTTGACAGATTATAACTCATTCATCTCTGCTGGTGTCTATTGATTATTGACTTTGGTGACTATGAGGCTTCAAGTATTTGATTAAAAAAAAGGATATTCTGCTTGTGTGTGCTGATGTTTTTATAAGAAACTTTCAAAATTCTTCCAAGAACACAGAACAATTGAATGTATTTTTAATATTGCTTTTATTAAGCAAAGTGATTTGTAGATTAAAATACCATAAATTAAGTTTTATAAGATGGTAATGAAATTTCTCTTTCCCTAAATCTTAAGATTTAACTGTTAGGTTAAAAACTATGTGTTTACACACAAACAAACACTTCTGAAAGGAATTGACCACCATAATTTTACCCAAACTCAAATTTTTAGAAGAATAAGTTGATAAAATACAGAATTATCATCTAAGTAATGTTATATACCATCGAGTTATTTGCAATTCATACCAACCCTATGTACAATAGTTCTGAGCACTGCCCGTTCCTGAGGCAGTCTCACTGTTTGACACATCTACCCTTATTTTCTCAAATACTGTGTCAATCCATCTCATCCTGATTCTTCCTCTCCTGCACCATCCCTCCATCCTTCCAAGCATGATGTCCTTCTCCCAGGACTGGTCCCTCCTTGCAAAATGCCCAAAGTATGGAAGATGGAGTTGAAGTCATAAGAAACACTGTAAATATAGTTACTTAGCCACATGAAATTGTTCATTGCAGCAGTCTTACATCTTACCCAGGCTGGGCTCAGCCATGGTGGTGGCTCATATTGCCTTAGTAGACACCTACACATCACAAGACTTCACACTATGATATGTGTACACTAGTAATTTCACACCTTCAATTAATCATTTTATTCTACTCAATTTCACTTTCTTAGAAGATGTTATTTGAAATAATATTCCCTCAGACTAATACACAAAAACAATGGGTACATATGTATTTCTCACAAAGGAACATTTTTAGACTTGCAACTCACCACTGCTTGTGTGGTTTCTCATCTATAGGAAATAGGTCTAATTCAACAGCTTCTTGCATGAGTTGCCATGACGAAGATCAGAGATGGTCCTGCTGCTGGAACTTCTCACACTAGCCTAAAACCAAAGTCAAAAGACACACAAGCTTGATTTTAAGTTTTAAACAAGTATTTCTAACCTGCAGTTAGCAAAAAGTCTTAAAAGAAACTGCTCTCAAAGGGAAGACAAAGTGAAATATCCTCAGAGTTGTAAACTCTGCAGAATTTAATCAAGCACATGAACTTTCTGATTATCAGCCCCCAAACAGCTAGGCATTTAAATATATGTGCATAAATGCAAGTAGTTATTGGTATTCTGGCTGATATATCTGGCTTTATGACAGCCAGGTAAGTTCCACTGCCATATGTATTTATATATGAAATTTTACATATTCTGTTTTTCATGTAAGATTTCATTGGAGGGACAGCACAAGAGAGGAAGACCCTCTATGAGATGGATCGATTCAGTGATTGGGGTGGTGGGAGTAGGTGTGTCAGAGACAGTGAGGTTGGCCCAGGATAGAGCAGGGTTTGGGGCTCTTATACATAGATAGGGTCGCTGTGAGTGGCAAGTGACTCGACAGCACATAACAACAGCAACAACAACGAGATATGGAGGAACTCTGGTGGCCTAGTGGGCTGGGAATTGTTCTGCTATGCCCCCAAAAAAAGTAAGTGTTTTGGATTCACCAGCTGAGCCACTGGAGAAAAGTGGGCAGTCTCCTCCTATGCTATTTATTCACAACCTCTGAAAGCCTGACAGAGGGTCAACCACAAGTCAGTTCCAAGTTGACTGTGCATAACAACACTGCTTTGTGACACTGAGTCAATAACAACACATAACGATCCTGTGAACAACAAATTAAAAACATTCCTTATTCTGTGGCATATTTATGATCTCCACCACGCTCAACCCCCTTGCTGCAATCACTGTCACTCCATGTCTTCCTCTCTTTCTCTGATCCTCCAGTTTTACCAAAATGTTTTTTCCTAGCATGCTGAAAGTATGTGAGATGGGGTTTCACCATCTTTGTCTCTAAAGAACATGCTGGTTGCACTTCCGCCGTCTTTCTCTATCTCATTGTTCCTTTGGCAGTACATGAGATATTTAGTACTCTGTCTCAGCACCACAATTCAAAGTCATCCATTCTTCTTCTGTCATTCTTATTCACTATTTCATTGACTACAAAAAGGCATTTGACTGTGTGGATCACAACAAACTGTGGCTTACTCTGAGAAGAATGGGAATCCCAGAACACTTAATTGTGCTTATGTGAAACCTATACTTGTACCAGGAGACAGTTGTCAGATCAGAGTAAGGAAACACTTTATGGTTTAAAATCAGAAAAAGTGTGTGCTAGGAATGTGTCCTATCTCCATTTTCAATCTATAAGCGAAACAAATTATCCAGGAGGCTGGACCCTATGAGGAGGAATGTGGCATCACGATTTGAGGAAGACACTCATAAACAACTTGGTGTTTCTGTGATGCTGCACACTGTTCCATAATCTTGTCAAATACCATAATTGTTTCCCATTATGTACAGTGTTTGAGTGAGCTTCCAGATTGATTTATGCTGGGAAGCAGGAGTGACACCCACTTCCTAAAACTAGATGCCTCTTAGAAACTCTACAAACTCACTAAACTCTTTAAATGTACAGAAATTATGGTAGTTCTAGAACAGAGTTCTGTACAGAAATTATGTTAGTCATAAAACAGAGTTTAGGTCTTTTGTGCAAAACTTACTCTCAGTTGTATTCGACTTGACGACACTTAACCATTACTAAATGAAACTAGTGCTGTTCCTCCAGGAACATTTCCACTTTGTACATCACTCTTTGTCAATGTGTATTATGAAGTAACCTGGGTTTCTATGATGCTGAACCTTGTGTCATTGGGGTTTCAAATACCAGAATAGCTTCTCAATGTGGAAAGTGCATGGTGGAGCTCCCAGTTATAAAACAGATTTGGAAGCAGGAGTGGCATCCATCCACTTCCTAAACCACATGCCTCTGGAAACTCTATGGACATGGTGAAATGATGATAGTTACAGAAAAGCATTAGGTCTTTTGTTCATAGAGTTACAATAAGTTGCAGTTGACTTGACGACAATCAACAACAACACTATCAACAACGTGACTTATGCAGATGACACAACCCTGCTTGCTGAAACAGAGGAGAATCTGAAGCACTTGCTGCAGAGGGTCAAGGGCCACAGCATTCAATATTGATTAAAGCTCAATATCAAGAAAACAAAGATTCCCACCACTGGGCCAATTGGCAGCATCATGATAAATGGTAAAGAGACTGAGATTGTTAACAGCTTTAGTTTGCTTGGCTCCACAATCATTACTCTTCGTACCAGCAGACAGGAAATCAAAAGGCACATTTCATTGGGAATGTCTGCTGTCAGCAACATCTCCAGAGTACTGAAGAGCAGTGATGTCAGTCTGAAGACTAAGGTGTGCCTGATCTGGCCCATAGTCTTCACAATTAGGTGCTATGTATCAGAAAGCTGGACAATGACAAGGGATGATAGAAGAATTGGCCCTTTGGGATGTGGTCCTGGAGAAGAGTATTGAATATACTATGGACTGCTAGAAGAACAAACAGATTCATCCAAGAGAGGGTGAAATCAGGTTTCTCCTTGGAAACAAGTATTCTGAAGTTTCGTGTGACATACTCTGGGCGTGTTTCAAGGAATGACCAATCCTTAGAAAGTGACGTCATGCTTGGGAAGGTGAAGAAATAGAACAAGAGAGGAAGATCCTTGATGAGATGGATTGATTCAGTCACTGGGATAGCGGGGGTAGGTGTGTTGGAGATGACAAGGTTGGGTCGAGATTGGGCAGGGTTTAGAGATTTTGTACTTAGGGTCGCTATGAGTTGTAAGTAACTTGACGGCACATAACAACAAACAACTTTCAAATGCATTGATAATACAATGGGTTGGATCACAGACTCCTTAGTGTTTAAACTGAAACCCTTGCTGCTTAACATTTTGGAGAAGTTCTCGACAGCTCAGGATCTCTAGCCAACTGGGTGGTGGTAAAGTCCATAAAGAGTTGCAACTGCAAATCCAGAAGTTCTGAGGAAGAAAGAGGGGGAAGATACTTCCATATGATTTACAACCTCAGAAAACCAACAGAGGGTCAGCTATAAAAACTGGATGTAAACCAACGGCAATGAGTTTTGACTAGCTATTAAATGGAGTTTGGGTGGTGGAAAAGATATTCACTCAGCTAATAATAGGAAGATTGATGCCATGCAGGGTGCCCTCTCAAGGAAAGTCCTGGTTATTTGGTTTCTAAAAGTACCGGTCATGACGACCCTGTGGGGTCTTCATTTTTACCCTGAAACACATGTAGTCATTATGAGTCTGGACTGATTCAAGACAACTGGTTTGGCTTTGATTATTGTCTGTCAGATAGTTAGTTCCTAGTAGAAATGTCAATTTAGAGGAAAATACCAGTACCAGTTATCATCCAGTCACCTTTGACTGGTGACAATCCCATATGTCTGTCCCAGGTTGGAAGTATGCCACTTAGATTGTCAGTGACTGGATTTTTAATATATCACCAGGTCTTTTCTGAAGTCATTTCTGTATGGACACATACACTTCAACCTTTAGGTTATCATCCAACTGTATTAACCATTTGTACATCCCACTGACTCCAGTGGAATTCATAGATAATTGAACAGGTAACTACTGTGATGTATGAGTGTTGTGATAGAGGAAGTACACATACTGATTAAACATGGCCAAGTAAGTGTATTTAAGAGCTTCACTTCACTTCCAGGACTTGCATATCCCATTCCTAACATAAGAGAAGATGACAATTACTTTCCGCAACCTATTTTCAGGATACACTCAGAGCACCTAGGCCGGTTAACATCTACAAACCAGGAGGCAGTTTTTCTTTCACGAGCTCGCTGATACTTTTATGTCACTGTTACTGCTTTCCACTTCTTGCCACAAAAATATGGCAAAAGTCCCATTTATTGATGAGCTGGCCATTCCACAAATAAGGGAGTTTCCTCTTACTCCAGGACACCACACAGTTACAGAGTAGCTTTGGTTAGGGATCCACCAGTTACCTTTTTCTCAAACCTTTCATTTCCATTCCTAGGAATATTATCTCTATGGTCCTCTGAGTTTTGTATATCACCAGGGATCAGAAAGATGAGAAAGGTTAAAGTGAATTTAATGATCCAAAACATCAATTAAACTACAAAATTTGTTCGTAAAATGAGCATAGTTTAAGGACTATTTATCAAGGCTAAAATGTTTCTATTTATGTTGCATTGCTGTTGAGTCGATTCTGACTCATAGGGACCCTTATTTGATTTGCTTTAAGGGAGGAGACTATTTCTCCTTCCAGCTGAGTGTTTGGCGGATTTGAACCACAAACTTTCTGGGTTGCAGTCCAACATGTTACATGCTATGGCACCAGGGCTCCTTAACATAAAATGCTTCTATTTAACATCACTTGGGGTTTCTATTAAATATCACCGGGGGTTTCTACTTTGCAGATTTTCTTTCTACCAAAGTCCACTGTTAAGAAATGAAGGAACCCACAACCAACTATAGGGGGGTGGGAGGAACAGCACCTAAGTTTAAAAAAAAAATACAGATTATTCATTTCCCTCACTTTTGCCATGAAAAGATAAAATTTAAGAAAAACTGAAAACACAATAAAAAACCTTTACGCCTTTGCTATGAAAATATGCACAGCTAGGCAAATTTTTTAAATACAGGCTCCAATTTCAAATTGCATTTTCTCTTTAAAACAATCAATATGCAGCATGATGTTTTATCTGAATCAGCATAGCAAAGCCTCATCTTAGACTTAGACAATATTATAAAAACATCCAATTTACTAAAGAAACAAAATTAATGATGTTTTTTACCAGTAATCCAGCCTTTCCCCCCAAGAGTCCTTACACTCAACTTTTTCTATGAGTCCTTGGTCCTAGAGAAACAGATGTGATAGATGTACTGAGGGAAAAGGGGTGGGGGTGCTGCTGGGAAAGCCTGCAGTAAATATGGCATCGTAGCCAAATCCTGTCATTGATGGGCACTTTCGTGTCTATCTTGTACATAGGTATTGCAACATCCAACCAAATGCTTAAAAGCTATTGTAGGGGCAACAGAGAAAGAACTCAAAATGCCTATTTGTTTACTTTTTTTTTTAATTAAAGGGATCCCATTATTCTCATAAGCAACCAAGCAATCATTCAGTTTAAACAAACCAATTCCACTCAAAGTCCTTTAGCTAAAAATGTGACCTGAAGCAGGACTGAAGCAGAAAGGGAAAAGATCTGCTTTTAACAACAACAACCAAAAAAACCAACCCAACTTGCCTTTTATTCTTAATCATCAGCATATAAAGACTGACAACTATAGCCAAAGAAAATGATTTGTTTACATGAAACAAAAATAAAACTTTAAAATATGCTTCTATCTATAAATACAGGCCTTTAAGCATGGTAGGCTTTTTCGATTTGTTTAGGTTAAGCAGATTCCTTTTCCTTCTAATATCCCTATAGGACAGAATGACAAGGGAAATTACATTCCATGGATGTAAACTCTCCATCTAGATTATAGCATCCCTGATCAACTCTCACTCAGTTCATTCTAACCTTGAAAAACATTGACCGTGTGCTATGAAACCATTAAACACTAATAGCTGCAGACGTACCAGACAATGACAGCAAAAACACACTCCGTCCCTCTGGGATCTGTTCATAAACATCCCTCTCCAGCACGGCAAACACACTCCTCCCAACAACAGATGCTGTTCTGGGGCGAGCAAGCAGGCAGCTGGAGGCAGCTGATTTTTCCACTCTCCTTGTCATTTCTTACTCCCTCATCATGAGGAATCTTTGCACAGAAACTGAGAAGATTTCATAAGGAGAGGAGCCCATCAAATTAAAGACACTTTGCTACAACAGGAAGGAGTGATATGCAAATGAGGAAGCATAAAGACTAATGTCTAAGGTCATACCACCTTTGTCATCTGATTTTCTGGTCCCATGGTAGGGAAGAGGAAAGCCAGTTGGTTCCACGTGATGCAATAAGCTAAGCAAGTACTTTAGGTCAATTTTAGGAGTAAGATCAAGGTAAAGTAGGGATACATACAGGAAGCAGCAACATTGTTATAGCCTCAAATTTATTTTCAATCCAAAGGTTCAGGGTAAGCTAGAAGCCTATGAGTTGATTCACAAGCAATAACATATTGGTACAGAAGCTCACCTAAGATAGGAAATTTGTAGAACCCTCTCTCAGAAGAGTGTTCATTCCTATAACCATTTCCAATGTTTTGATCAGCATTCTAGGAGACTTTCAAGGGTCTGACAAGCAGCAGATTTAGGGATAGAAACAGAAATTGGACCTCACTCTGGCAAGTCTGGTGCATTAATACTCATTTTTCTCCTAGCTGAACTGTGACCTATCCCATATGACTTAGGCTGTCTCCAGTTCTTTTATGAAAGTTATCCTCCACACAGCCGAAGCAGAGAGGGTTGTTGCAAGACACTGTGAGGCTCTGCAGCAAAGGCAGTTCATGTAAACAACCTTGTGATGGCTTCAGAATAGACTGCCGTGAGATAAGTCATTCTTTTACTGTAGCTCAGTTGCAGCACATTGGCAAGTTTTTGGTTGTTTTGAGTTTTTCTGTATGAGGATAAAAGGAAAGATAGTCTCCTATTTTAAATGTAAAAAAATAGAAAGGAAAATATGTAGAAAATCTCATTTATAAAAGATCTTTCACTTGATTTACTTGAAGATTTTTCAGGCATTTATTTTACTGTACACACAAACAGATTCTGATAAGCATTGTCATCTTCATTTTTTATAATGTATTTTTTTCCCCAAGAGAAGCTCTGACATTTCCAGGGGACACAGTATCCACTATCCCAGCATAGAATACCTGGGAACCTTGCCATTTAAAAAAAATGGTTCCTGCTGTGACTGGAGGATCACTTTCTTAAAGGGACCCCTTATCTATGGGACTGCAGTGACAATTTTTCCTCTTCATTTAACCTGTCCCCTGTTGCTAATTCTCTCCCAGTCCAAATCTAGCTTAGAAGCTCTCTAAAAGACTAATTCCTTTAGTTTCACAGCTTTACAAATAATTTTTATATACATTTCAATATATACACATAGCATTCCCTACTAAAATATGTAAATATGTTCTATAATATTTAAGTTGTATCCCTCACAAAATAAACATAAATGCATACTTAAAGACATTATTTTTCATTTCCTATAGAACTACACTGTTTCTCAGAAATGAGACTGAAGTCAGCACTTCTCTCTCTCTCTCTCTCTCTCTCTCAACTCTGCATTGTCTAAAATCCCTGGTCACAATAAGAAGCCTTTGCACTCTCTGCTACCCCTCATGCCAAAAGCACAGGTTGCCACACGCCCAAGTCTGGAGAAAGATGCTCCTTGCAGAAGCCATGAGCTGGTGGCTTCCTGCCTCATAGGGAGTTTACTTCATTAACCTGCTTTCCACCCCATCCTTCCCCGCCTCCCGCTTTCCTCGCTCTCCTGGCCCACCAGGAGCAATCCATAGCCATCACCCCACCCTCCAAAAAACAGGTTAGAACCCAGAATGAGCAAAGAACCACCTACCATTCCGTGTCTGAGAACTATGATCCTGATCCAGTCGTGTTTGCCCCCAAAATCTCTCTACTTGTCTTTCCTTAACCACATTCCAAACTGTAAGAAGGAAGCGACTCCTCAGAGGTGGGGAGATTGTGTCAAATTAATGATGGATAGGTAATTTTCAAGATAATTTGACCTTAAAGTCACTCACTCAAAGCCCCTTGGCAATTGAGGGGAGAGGAGGAAAAAAAAGGAAAAATGCAAAAATATAAAAAGAAAAGGAAAAGATAAGCTTAAAACAGATACCACCCACCCCCATAAAAAAATAAAAAGAGAAAGGGGGGTTTTAAAAGAAGAAGAGGAAGAGTGCCTTGCTGAATCACCCTCTTTCACTGCCTGGAAACCATTGTGCAGCGTGATGCTGCCTGTACCATTGTGGAACCGACCAGAGGAGACGGACAGAGGGCTTGGGGAATGGGGTTGCTATGGCAACTGAAAGGAGCACACATGACGTCAAAGCCCAGAGAGGTCTAGGGAGGGGAGGGGTAGGAGGGGAAAAGGGAAGGAGGAAAAGTCGAAGTGCCGCTACATGCACCGTGTTTTCTGGGGAAATGTGGTTCAGGCAAAATGTGTAGGCATAAAGTCCATGGGCAGTCCTTGCCGACAACTAGGATGCCAAGAAGCCAGTCCGCACAGCCCAGGGAAATGGTGTCCGCGATGGAGTTCTGGGTGTGTTTGCAGGGAAGGACTGAAGAACAAATACAGGCAGAGCAAAACAGCCCTGGAAACGCATTCCACCCCTGTATTGCAACTATCTCCGCTTTTTACAAATAGCAGGAAGAGAGACACACGCTGTCTCCAAACGGCAGAACCAGCAAAAGATTGCAATAACCTCAGAGAAAGGTCTCTCCCTCGGAGGTTATTTGCATAGCTCTGTCACTCTTCTCGATTTTTCATTGTTTTACAGAGCATTTCTCCACAAATACTCCTTAACAAACTACTGTCTGTTTATGCAAATAATGAGTGATTACGTGATGGTTTTTTTACAAAGCATGCAACCAGCTTGCAAACATCAGTTTCCTATGTATGTTATATACAAAAAATATGGTTCTGCTCAGATTGCAATTTGTGGAGGAAAGATAATACCAGTAATTTCAGTTAACAGATTTGGGTTCTTTTTTATTTCTTAATTGCATGTAATTCCCTAGAAAATTTCTACAAGTTGAATTATTACCCCTTTGGAGTCAGATCTCAGTGCTCTTTCCTTAATTCGCCGTGTCTATTTTTAGCTGTTAAAGTTTTGGGGTATTATTATTATTAATACAAGTCATTTTAATATTCACTATATTAAAAATTGAGTCATCTACGACACTTAACCACAACAAAAACATAGAGCTCAGTTGGCCTAGTTGACAGAAAGTGATGCTACCAAGCCAAAGGTGGGTGATTTTAATCTGCGGCCCTCAGGCCTGATTTTAATTGGTTTTGATCAAACATTCTTCTAATTGGTATAGTACTGGTCTGTGCATTTGCTGTACAAAGGTAACTAGTGGTTGCTGTGATGATAAACACAGTGACACTGATGTATCAATAATGGTTACCTATGGTAGACAATGTTTGGTGGAGCCTCCTGATTAAAACAAGCTTGGAAGCAGGAGTGGCATCCACTTCCAAAATAGCTTGCCTCCTGAAATCCTATAAACTTGGAGAAACAATGAAAGTTATACAAGTGTTCAGGTCATTTGTTAATAGGGTCACTATGAGTCATCTACAACTCAATGGCACTTAACAACACAATACTAAACCTTAAGTTTATTAATGTCTTTAAAAGTATTTTTTACACAATGAAAATTTATAATGCATTTTTGTCATATCTATTTTTCAGTAATTTATTATTATAAATTATCACAATCATACATTTCCTAAAAGGGAAGGAGCTCTGGGGTCCAAGTTCCCAGAGGATTGTGTTAATCCAAGATGGCACCTCTCTTTAGTGGTTCAAATTCACCAGCCATTCTGTGGCCAAAAAAAAATTGTCAACCCCTTCCTATGTGATTTACAGCCTCAGAAACCCAATAGAGGATCAGCCATAAGTCATTCTGACTGAGCAGAAATGAGTTTGAAAGTTTTTACTTTTTTATAAGTAAAATTTCTTTTAAAGGGGGCATTTAAAAATAACACATAATCTTAATATTCCTATTGCATTATTTGCAAAAAATATTTAAAATCACATCCATCATTAAAATAACTTTTAGAAAGTTATCTTTGGGGAAAATAGATCATCTCAAAGGTTGCATTTACAAGGTAAAGGACAGTTTGCTTCAAAGTCTCTGGAGCCCAGCACAGGGAACATAAATCTCACTAAATATACAAACACAGGGATACTAAGTATAAACATTTGATTAGCAGCCCAATATGCATGGGGAGTGCTGCTAGGGAACCTTCAACTTTGTACTTTTGGAAGTAAAAAGTTACATTTATTCATTTAAAACTCTAATTTTTAATATTCTCAATTAATAGTATTCCTGGAATTCATGTCAGACATCTATGGTGTTTTACTAGAACACATTTTAAAAATGGTTTAAAGTAATTATGATTTTTTCATATCCCACCACAAAAGACAAATATGCACTATAAAGAGGTTACCTATTTTAATATGTGATGTCTCAAAACTAAACATGTCACAGTATTTTAGAACTTAAAAATCTTGATAACTTATAGATAGAATTTTATCAACTCAGATAACTTATAGTAACCATAAATATTTACTAACCACCTACTACTCTGGTAGTGGTAAGAAGCTGCACTGCAATCCCAAAAGCACAGAGTTCTAATCCACTAGATGCTCTAGGAGAAAAGTATGAACAATCTCCTTTGTGATTTACTGCCTCTGGACTACATCTAAAAGATCGTCTATGGGCTGGTTCTAACTCGAGGACACAAAACAACAACACACAAGGCTCCTAGAATAAGATACAATCAAGGAAGACAATGAGAACTAAAGAACCTAAGGTACAGTGCTATCTAAAATCTGTTGTTAGATGGTGTCTAACTATTTCAGTTCATAGGTACCCTAAGTATAACATATCAAAATCTCGTCAGATCTTGGGTCATGCCCACAGTCTCCAGTATGCTCCAGCTCACTGTTGCAGTCACTGTGGTAATCCACCTCCCTGAGGATCTATCTCCCCTTTGCCAACCCTCTATTTTACTGAGCAAAATATTCTCTAGAGACTGGCCCCTCCCAAAAATGTGATGAAAGTATGTGAGATAAAAGCTCACCGTACTTTTATCCAAGGAGCACTCTAGCTGCATCTATTCCAAGAGTTTTATTCTTTTAGCAGTACATGATACATGTGATATTCTTCACCAATGTCACAATTTAAGGACTTCAATTCTACTTCAAGTTCTCCTTGTTCCAATTTTTGCATGCCTGAGAGACAAATAAAAAGACTACAGATTGGTCAGGTGCCCCTTAATCTTTAAACTGCAATCTTTCTCTTTAGCGCTCTAAAGAGATTGTTTATAGCAGATTTGCCCAATGCAATTTTTTTTTAATTTCCTGACTGTGATTTCTATGGGTGTTTATTGTGGAGCCAAATAAAAAGAAAAATCAATCTTTTCTCCATTTATTATGTTGTTGCTCATTGGTCCAATTTTGAGTATTTTTGTTTTATTGCTGATAAGATATAATCTATCCTTAAGGTTTCAATCAATATTGAAGACTATCTTCCTTGATCCTCTGCAGCAAGTGCTTCAGGTTCTCCGTTTAAGCAAACAAGTTTGTATCATCTTCCTCCAATCCCGATACCACATTCCTCCACATAAAGTGCAGCTTTTCAAACTATCTGTTCCACATACAGATTGAAAAGGTATGGAGACAAGACACATCTCTGATCCAGTCCTTTCCTAATTTTAAACAATGCAGTGTTTCCTTGCTCTATTCTAGTGATGTCTTTTAACCCAAGTATAGGTTTACTATGAGCACAATCAGGTGTACTGGTATTCCCATTCTTCTGAAGGCTGTTGTTGTAGTTGTTATGTGCCATCAAGTGGTTTGCGACTCACAGCGACTCTGTGTACAACAGCCCTAAACCCTAATCGCATTGCCTCTGACACACCCATCCTGATTACCCCAGTCACTGAATCAATCCATCTCATAGAGGGTCTTCCCCTCTTGTGCCGTGATTCACACAGGAAAATGCCTTTGCATGGTCAATGAAACACAGCAAGTTATTCCTCTGGTACTCTCTGCTTTTGCTAACATCCATCTGACATTGGCTATGATGTTCATAGTGGTACAGTCTCTTCTAAATCGGGCTTTTCTTTCTGGAAGTTCCCTGTTGATGTACTGTTCCAGCCATTTTCTGATGATCTTCAGCAGGATTTTACTTGCATGTGATACTAGTTCAATAATTTCCACAATCTGTCATGTAACCTTTTACAAAAAAGATAGGAATAAATATGGATCTCTTCCATTTGCTGTAATGTTTAAGGACTGTAGTCTGTAATATGCTCAGCATCAAGAAAACTAAGCCAATTGACAGCACCTTGACAGATGAAGAGATGGAAACTTAATCATTTCAGTTTGCTAGGTCTCACAGTCAACATTCTTGGCACCAGCAGGCAAGAAATAAAAAGACAAGTTGTATTAGGAAAATCTTCTGCCACAGACCACTCCAAAATGCTAAAGAGCAACAATGTCTGTCTAGAGGATAAGAGGTGCCTGATCCAGGCCGTGGTCTTCTCAATAACTTGCTAGGCATTAGAAAGCTGGGAAATGACAAAAATGGCAGATTGATGCCTTTGAGTGGTGGTGTTGGAGTAAGGCACTAAATATACTATGGAAAGCTGAGAAAACTAACAGATATGTCTTGGAAGCTGTTCCTTGGAGGCAAGGATTTTGAGGCTCCATCTCACACACTTTGGGCATGTTGCCAAGAGGGACCAGTCCTTGGAGAAGTCTGTCATACTTGGAAGGGTGGAAGGACAGCACAAGAAAGGAATAGCAAGAATGAGATGGATTGGCACAGTAACTGGGTAATGAGGGAAGGTATGTCAGAAACAGTGAGATTGGATAAGGATAGAGCAGGGTTCAGAGCTATTGTACATAGGGTCACTACTAGTCAAAAGCAACTCGATGGTAACTAACAACATCAACAACATAAGGCTGCAGTCTTTGATTTTCTTCTGTAAATGTGTCGTCCTCTTTACTTTCCACTATCATAATTATCTCATCTGCACATCAATATTCTGATGCCTCATTCTTCTTCAAATAGTTTGGCTTCTTAGATAATTTTCTTAGCATACCGACTGAAGCACTCAATTCACTCACTACTGAAAAGTTAAAACCAATTCATAGTTGAGCACCCAGAGGGTTTTCAGAGGTTGTCAATCATATGGGAAGACATTTCCTATCTTTCTCCTGAGAAAGTTGTGGAGGATTT